GGGGGAAAAGATTGCTGACGCGGAAAATTTATAATTAATTGTGCTCGAAACATTAAAAATATACACGGTGCGCTAGCTATGGTTAAAGGACTCTGGTCGAAATGGATGTCGAATTGAGCATGTTTTTTGTAGGTATGTACACAATTACATGTTTCTTAAATAAAAAGCTGATTTTACAGAACAGGAAACGTACTTCAGGGACAGTGCTTGTGTACCTGTTACTGAAGTTTGGATTGTATTGCTCAGGTATATGAGCGCGCGACACTACTTTCAGTGATCATGTCATGCATAATCATAATAATAGACATTAGATTCAATAAGATGAATCCAGACAAAGCAGCAGTTATTGCTGCACAAGACAAGTGTACCCCCCGCCAAACCCCATTAGAAAAAGTTGCCTTTAGTATTAATCTAATAAAGTTCTCTAATTTCTTGACTTAGTAATTGCATGCCTCCAAATTTGTTTTTAAAAAAATAAAGGGAGGGGCTACACCCCCGAAGTCCCGATTCGACTCGAACTTGTGGAATTTGAATAGTAGACATTTAAAATTTTAGCTTCCTCGGCCTCTCCTGCAACTATTTCATAAGGACCATCAAAAGCCTTATTTCTTCCCACACCGGGCATGTTTAATTGTCACCACCATTTCCTGATCATAGTTAATATTTTATTTTTCTTTATCAGCAGTTTTCTCAAAACGCGATTTTTTCTCCATACTTTTTTTTTAACAACTCCACCTTTTTATCCAATTTTCATGAAATTTTCACAGATCTAAAAATTTGTCTGTTCATTTTGTCCAAAACGAATTAAAAATTTTTTAATCAATTTTTTTTCCTGAGATAGTTATTCAAGTTTGTAAAAAATCCGTGAAAATCCACACTCCAAACACCACCAACAAAAATCTATTCCATATTATATCAGAAATTCAACAGACAGATTTTTAGTATAACATCTTCTCTTCATTCTGTCTAAATTTCGTGAAGATTGGACGAAAAATGGGGGAGTTATTTAAAAAAGTATAGAGAAAAATCGCGTTTTGAGAAAATGGCCTATAATAAAAAAAA